AGAGAGAGAGAGAGAGAGAGAGAGAGAGAGAGTATTTATTCAATTATTCCGGCTTCGACTAGTCACCAGTGCCTTTAGTATTTGATGGCCATGATGACTTTATTGGCAGTGATTATGCTGCCCCAATAGTTACTCGCATCCGGCAGGTATCAAGTGATTTATATGTACCGTTGGGTTAAGCGGTAATGATTAGACCACACCCCTCCCCCACCTATTCCCCTACCGGTCAGTAATTATGACCTGGATGCCAGTCAGCATAGTCTGTACATTAATACTTTATAAATAAATGCATAATAACTACAATTTGTTTAAATGTTATTTTATACTATTTTATTATTGAGGTAAATAATTATTGACTAAATAAAAATATTTAGTAGTATTTTAATAAATTAATATACAGTATAATTATATTAGATAGTAAAAAAGTTCTGGTCGGTTATAATCCACATAAGTAATCAATATGTTTTTTAATAAGTTTAATTATCTCAAATTAATTATGTTACAGTTATTACATACCGCTATAAATACTGCAAATAATTATCATTTTAACTCAACATAATGCTATTGATGAGATTTATTACTAAAGAGACTATCATGTATTAATTGATTATCATTAATACTACTCAACTAAACACTATAATAAAAAAAAGGGTCATTCATTTTAGACTTACATAAATATTATTGTTATAATTTTGTTTCAAAAAGTGTTTTGTAAATATAAAACATGTCGCAGTAATAATAAGTGTTTAAAAATAATAATTAATTAATTTTATATAAAAATTATTCTAAAAAATTGGCCAAGATGGATAAGTGCAATAATACGCGTGAACAATTTATTATAAAATTTATTAAACCACTTATGATAATACTATTCATGATGGCCACAATAGTATTTGTGTATCTATTAGTCTGGGAGACGACATATGAAATAGGTGATAAATCGAAAGTATGGCATATATATTTTATAATAGTATTTACCATGGGCATTGTCCTATCCATTCCGGCATGGTACGGTGCCATTATTGATCATGGCCTTTTAATGAGACCTTTCTCAATTTACTTGTTTATAAATATTATATTGGGCATTGTGGTCACTATTAAAATGCATGGGCTCTGGTTTTACCCAGTTTTATCATTAGTATTGTGTATGATTTACGGCTCATATGCCGAATGGATTTGCCGTGAAAATGAGTTCAATGTTCTAGCTAAATTTACCAAGGGCACTTCTGGTAGGTTTATTTGCAATTTGAATATAATAATAAATTATACATAATTTATTTTATATGCTCCTGTTGTGTATCACTCATAATTGGCAATTTGCACCACAATTACCATCACGTATAATCTAGCTACTAGATTCAATGGAAAATATTGTGGCCTAAAATCGAATAATAAAGTACATAGCATACAAACTACTGATGGTATAACACATGATAGACCGCATACAGAATTAAATGAAACCAATGAATGATTATAATAGAGTTAATTAATAGCTCTGATATTTAAATAAATCTGAATTGTTTTTATTCTGTGTTGATATTTATATGATATTAAATAACAATTTTATAATAAAAGTTTGAATAAAATATAAAGTTTATTATTTATTGCTTGTTTGTTATTTACTATACATTATATTCGTATATTATTATACAATTGTCATATTCACGTTAATTTAATATTTACCATTGTACAGTATTAAAATATATTTATAGCGACATACTATACAGGTGTATGCATAGCATTTTATCAGGTATATTGGTTGTCATTAACAATGACTTATTGCAATCAGGCATTGAAATAACTGTCTATTGTTTTGTTGATATTAACACAAAGTACTATATTTTTAACAATAATAAGTAATTAATAGTCTCAATAAAAATTAGCAATTTTAGTTTATTTTAATTAAGTAATTAATTAATTAAACAAGTGACCAACATGCCTATGCGCAATAATAGATGCAGGGCATTTTTTATTGGATATATAAAGATGTGCATGGTAATGTTATTTTTGACGACCACGTTAGTATTTGTGTATTTAATAATTTGGGAGGCCAATTATGAGCTAGGAGAAAAACCAAAACAATGGCACATTTATTATTTAGTGTTATTTAGCATGGGCATTGTCGTAACAATTACGGCATGGGTCGGTGCCATTATGGATTGTGGTTGTTTAATAAGACCTTTCTCAATTTACTTGTTCATATGCACCATATCTGGTGTTGTAGCCATGGTCAAAATTCACGAACTCTGGTTTTACCCAATGCTATCGTTAATATTGTGCGTAATATTTGGTGGATATGCCGAATGGGTTTGCCGTAAAAACAAGGTTAATGCCCAAACACCCTGGACCATTTCAGATAAAGTCCATTCTGGTAAGATTTAATTAAATGCAAGGGTAACTGTGTTTAGATAAATATTAATTTTATATACAATCAATTGTTTTAATTGAATTTTTAAAATATTATAAAACAATTTAAAAAACTATAATTTAATTAATTAATTGTTTATTTAATTTATATCACTTTATATTAAGTTATAGACTTGGTCATAAACATAGATTAGTTTTTAATTAATAAATTTTACATTCATTACATCATTTTTAGCAATGATCCGTGTAAACACCTTGCTTAATTATACCGAACATAACATGAAACACTACGAAGCGGCAAATACTACCACGGTCAACATCACTTACTATCTAGCTACTTTAATCAACGTTAGGAATAGTATTATAGATTTGCGCCAAGAAATTAGCGATATACAAACTGGTTATCAGCTACATGAAGAAAATCACCTTGCTCATTTGTGTGTTGAGCTAACACAATGGGAACAGTGGACACAAGACTGGGTGAAAAAGATGGATGATTATATGAGGGACTATCAGTGTACTAATTAAAAATTAATTGAGCTTGTTTTCATAAATGTAAATACGTATACGGCAACTAATTAAATTGTAAAAGTTTATTTAAAATAATATGTAATTTATATATCGTATATTTATTATATTTGGAGAGAGAGAGAGAGAGAGAGAGAGAGAGAGACTTGGGTGTATCATTAATAAATATTTAAACTGTAACAAAATATTAGATTGAAAAATGTGTAAAATAAAAAGCTTGCTTATTTTATAAATATTAGATATTTCCCAAATACATAATTTCTATGGAATTGCCAATGAATTTCATTCATATGCAAATTAGATTACAGTTTATGAATACATGCATATATTGTATGCAATATTAAAATAATGAGAAATATTTTTGGGATAAAATTATATGAGAAATAAACATAATTATTATATACATTTTAATTTTAAAATAATTCCGTTTGAATACATTGTATAATCTTAATTTACAAATAATAAATTATTACAAGATTAATATTTGCAGGAATTTCAATAAATAATTGTTATATAAAATTATATTAATTTGTAAATTTTATTTTTAAAATTATTTTTAAAATTTCAAAAATAAATAATAGATAATTAATTCAATTTTATGTTAGTAAAATATTAAATAATGTTAAATTTTACATATTATTTCAAAATAACGGCAATATATTGTTTTAGTACATTTACACATTAAAATCATTTAATAATAATTTAGAAGAATATGCAAAAAGGTAATTTAGTAATTATTGCATTGTATTGTATTTATATCAACACACAATAAATGTGTTGTTTCGGTCTCCAAAGTTATTATCAGGGTAAACATCACAATCAATTTAATAATACCGGATTAGTAATGACTCATTACACTTGGCAATGGAAATAATATACCATTGTTTTTATTATAACTCAAATAATGTAAAATTAATTACCTCAACAATTAATTTCAATTATTATATAAAATATTAATATTATAAAATTATTTTAAAAATACATCTTACTTGTCAAAATTACAATGATCTGCAAATGTTGCTGTGATATTAGAACCAGGCAATTTATCATGAAATGTCTCAAATGGTTCATGGTAATATTGTGTTTCGTGTGTACCACACTATTTCTCGCCATGTTAATCATGGAAATTAAGAATAACTTATTTAGATTACGTGGTAAACATAATGAATGGCATGTATACTACGTAGTGTCATTGACCCTGGGCTTTGTTGTATGCGGTACAGCAACATATGGTGCCTTTAGGGATCGTGGTAGGCTAATGCAACCATTCTCTTTTTACTTGTTTTTCAATATAATGTCGGGAATTGTGGCCGCCATTCAACAGCACGAGCTCTGGTTTTACCCTGTTGTGTCATTTATTTTGTTTGCCATTTGCGGCTCATATGCCGAGACTATTTGTGTTAAAAACAAGGATGATGCTCAAACCACCAGGACCATTACGGATTCTGTTCAATCAGGTAGTTTTATTTGATGTTTTCTATAATAAACTAGATTATTTATGTTTATATTGAATAATGATTAATTATCATACAGAATATTTAAGTGTTGACTAATTCATAATTAATAATTAAACCTTGTTAGGATGATATTATCACATAAATTATAACAATAACAATAAATAATAAATAACAAAACTAAATAAACTAAAGTTTATATACAATAACTTTAAATATTATAACAGTGTTTGAAAAACTGTAATAAAATTTATTTAATATTTATTTTATATACTTTAATTTATTTTAAGATTATAATTGGACTTCTCATAAATGAAGATTAATTTCTAAATATTAAATTAATAATTTTTTTAAATTACTTTAGCCATGATCAGGGTAAACGCCCTCCTCAATTTTATTGCCCATAATATGAAACGCTACGAATCGGCAAATCCCACCATAGTGAACATTACGTATGACTTGGGTACTTTGATTAATGCCAGGAACAGTGTTGTTGATTTGCGCAACAAAATCACCAACATACCTGCTGCTAATCAAAATAACCTGGTTGATTTATGCGTTGAGTTAGCACATTGGGAACAGTGGACAGAGGACTGGGTTAAAAAGATGGATGACTATATTGAGTGCCAATCGATGTGATAATTGATATATTATTGCAAATACATATTTATAATTAAATTATTTATATGAATTAAATGTTTGCACATGAATAATCTAATAGCAACATTTTTAAATAGTTATTAATCATTATACATTTATTATATAATTTATAATTAACAGGGTGCACTACTGTTTTTTAAAATGATTTTATTAAAAATTTATTAAAATCAAACATTTAAAATATACATTAATGAAAAGATCATTAAATTTCTATAAATGTTCATGTGTTACATAAAATATAATTAAAGCCTAAAGATTTTATGCTATTTATGAGTAGTGATAACAAACAAACTTTGAGACAAATTATAATTAATTTAATTAAATTATTGTAATATGTTGGCTAAAAAGTTTCAACTATTTTTTCTGTAAAATCGTGTGTGTTTTGAGCTCCGTCCAATTTATCAATTGTGCAATATAACCAAACTTTTGGTAAGAACCCAGATGAGGGTTTCACATATACCTATGCAAATATATACTGTACAATGCAATGGCAATACTTTATAAAAATGTATACATAGGGGCAGACTGTCCCCCGAATATGTGTGTACAGTATATATT